GTGTGTGTGTGTGTGTGTGTGTGACGTGTCCTTCAGCGCCGCTCACACTCATTCAAACTCAGTAAATCACATCAGAACCAAACATCAGCTTTCACATTAAATCCACTGATATACTGCGCTAAAGAGCAGAGTTCTTTGCTATGGCTGTAGTATTGATTACGTGGCACAGTACTACTTACACTAACAGTCAACCGTTTTTGACAACCATGTGACACTGAAGACTGGAGTAATGATGCTGAAAATACAGCTTTGATCACAGAAATAAATTACAGTTTAACAGATATTCACATAGAAAACAGCTGTTTTAAATAATAAAAATATTTCACAATTTTACTGTTTTTTTCTGTACTTTGGATCAAATAAATGCAGGCTTGGTGAGCAGAGACTTTAAAAAACATAAAAAATTTTACTATTCAAAAACTTTTGACTGGTAGTGTATAATAAGTAGATTTTTACTGTTCGAGTATTTGACGCATGTCTTCACATATCAGCTAAACTCTCTGTATGTGCCTGTAATCACATGAACGTGTGTGATGTATGGAGTAATGCACATCAGTGACACTCAAACATCATCAGATGTGTGTCAGACCTCGTAATGAACTCCAGGTGTGTGTGTGTCTCTCTCTCTCTCTCTGTGCGTGTGTGTGTGTGTGTGTGTGTGTGTCCAGGGCCGGTCGTTTCTGCACAGGACGCTACAGAGGAAGAGGAGGCTGTGGATGAAGATGCCGCTGATGATGTGATGGCTGAGGATGAGGATGATGAAGCTGAGGTGGAGGACGATGATAACACTGAACTAGTAAGAGAACTAACTAACTAGCATTAACCTCTCGTCATCTGAGCGGTTAGTGGAGACGCTCATGTTGTCGTTTCTTCTGTCAGACGGAAGAAAAGGAGGAAGAGGAGGAAGAAGCTCTGGTGGGGGAGATGAAGGCTTCACCCAACGCTGACACCACCATCCTCTTCGTCAAAGGAGAAGGTGAACGAGTCGATCTCACATTCACCAGGAGACATGACTGATTTAGTCCACAATGAGTTGACACATTCTGTTCAGTATTCTCTATATTGCATTAGTTATTTTGTTACTAAAATACATTATATTAATTATTTCATATGTCAGGTTTACGGAGTCAGTCTCATGGTGTTTAGTTTCTGATATTGAGATGAACTCTGATTCACAGACTGATGGGTGTTTCTCTTCTGTCGGCTCATTCATTCGTTCTCTTCCTGAATGGCAGATTTTCCCGCCAACGACATCGTGAAGTTCCTGCTGGGATTCACCAATAAAGGCTCGGAGAACTTTGTGGTGGAGTCTCTGGACGCCTCGTTCCGGTACCCGCAGGACTTCCAGTTCTACATCCAGAACTTCACAGCGCTGCAGCTGGGGACCGAGGTTCCTCCTCAGCGTCAGGCCACCTTCGAGTACTCCTTCATCCCCGCGGAGCCCATGGCGTGTGTGTGTGTGTGTGTGTGTGTGTCCAGGGCCGGTCGTTTCTGCACAGGACGCTACAGAGGAAGAGGAGGCTGTGGATGAAGATGCCGCTGATGATGTGATGGCTGAGGATGAGGATGATGAAGCTGAGGTGGAGGACGATGATAACACTGAACTAGTAAGAGAACTAACTAACTAGCATTAACCTCTCGTCATCTGAGCGGTTAGTGGAGACGCTCATGTTGTCGTTTCTTCTGTCAGACGGAAGAAAAGGAGGAAGAGGAGGAAGAAGCTCTGGTGGGGGAGATGAAGGCTTCACCCAACGCTGACACCACCATCCTCTTCGTCAAAGGAGAAGGTGAACGAGTCGATCTCACATTCACCAGGAGACATGACTGATTTAGTCCACAATGAGTTGACACATTCTGTTCAGTATTCTCTATATTGCATTAGTTATTTTGTTACTAAAATACATTATATTAATTATTTCATATGTCAGGTTTACGGAGTCAGTCTCATGGTGTTTAGTTTCTGATATTGAGATGAACTCTGATTCACAGACTGATGGGTGTTTCTCTTCTGTCGGCTCATTCATTCGTTCTCTTCCTGAATGGCAGATTTTCCCGCCAACGACATCGTGAAGTTCCTGCTGGGATTCACCAATAAAGGCTCGGAGAACTTTGTGGTGGAGTCTCTGGACGCCTCGTTCCGGTACCCGCAGGACTTCCAGTTCTACATCCAGAACTTCACAGCGCTGCAGCTGGGGACCGAGGTTCCTCCTCAGCGTCAGGCCACCTTCGAGTACTCCTTCATCCCTGCGGAGCCCATGGGAGGCCGGCCCTTCGGCCTCGTCATCAACCTCAACTACAGGGACAGCAGCGTGAGTCTGTGTGTGAGTGACTGTGTGTGTGTATATGAGTGTATGTGTGCGAGTGCGTGCGAGCGCGTGTGTGTGTGTGTGAGAGAGTGCGTGCGTGTCTGTGTGTGTGTTTGAGGAGACCGTCTCTGGACTCGATCCTCTCTCACTCACTCGTGTCCTTCCTCTCTGCTGTTTCAGGGGAACGTGTTCCAGGACGCCGTCTTCAACCAAACCGTCACCATCACCGAGAGAGAAGACGGTCTGGACGGAGAGACGTAAGGCTGCTGCAGAGATCCAGGAGTTCAGGCTTTGAGCAGCAGGTGGCGCTCTGATCATGTGACTGACTCTCTGTGTGTGTGTGTGTGCAGGATCTTCTTGTACGTGTTTCTGTCGGGACTCGGCCTGCTGCTGGTGGTCGGCCTTCATCAGCTGCTCGAGTCACGCAAGGTGAGACGCTCATCATCCTCATCATCATCATCATCATCAGCTGCTCTTCATCGTTACTCTGCTGTCAGAATCTGTGCTTCAGTGCCTCTGGTGTGTGTGTGTGTGTGTGTGTTACAGAGGAGACGGCCAGCAGCTAAATTGGAGATGGGAACCTCCAATCAAAATGACGTGGACATGAGCTGGATCCCACAGGAAACACTCAACCAGATCAGTGAGTGTCAGCCAATCAGAGCAGGCTTTACACACGCAAACAATCACACTCATTCAAATAAACTATGGGTTTGCACTGTCAATCAAATAAAACTGGAATAGTCTTTTGAAATCACAATCAAAGTTTGGTTAAATTTGAGTTATTGTATGTCCGGCTGTATGTTTCGGGGTGAGACGAGTTTAGTTTACAGCATTTCTCTAAAATATTCCACATTCCACCAAGAAGCTTGAAGATTTAGTTGCTTGAAAGTGAACAAGTAGTATTGGAACTTGTAATAAGTAGTGTAAAATATCATGTGTTTGTTTTACAAAACAATTATAATTAGTGCTGTCAAACCATTAATCACATCCAGAATAAAAGTTTTTGTTTACATGATATATGTGTGTGTGCTGTGTATATGTATTATGTATATATAAATACACACACATGCATGTATATATTTCGGAAAAAAAATATTTTTATATATTAAATCTATTTATTTGTAATATAAATTATATGAATATAAATATAGACATGTAAATACATGTACATATTTTCAAAATATATACTGTATGTGTGTGTATTTATATGTACATAATAAATATACACAGTACACATACACATTATGTAAACACAAACTTCTATTTTGAATGAGATTAATTGTTTGACAGCACTAGTTATAATTGTATAATAACGGTAATACAGTTCTGTCTTCATGTTTTATATTTAGAGGAAACAACTGTTAGTAATAGGCCTACTAATAACAGTTATCATTGATAATAAAAATGTATACTATTGGAATAAAAATATAATTATATTTAAAATATGACAAGATAATAGTGATGTGTATTTTTGGCGCAGTGATGCTGCCCTATATAAAATGAAAAAAAAAAATTTAAATGAATTTATAATTCTGTAATTTAGTCTCTCTGATGTCATTCCTAACCTGCGTGCGGTTCTTTATTCTGTTGAACACAAAAGAAGAGATTTTGAAGAATGTTGGTGAACAGTTGCTGCTAGCTGTTGACTTCTATAGTTTAGACAAGAATACTGTGGAAGTGAATGGAGAGCAGAAACGGTTTGCTTGCAAACATCCTTCAGAATCTCTTCTGTGTTCAGCAGGAAATGATGCAGTGAACAAACCCTTTACAATAAAAAAAAAAAGGATTAAAATAAATGAAATGTTGGCTCACTTTAGCTGTGTATCATGTGACTGTTAACAATCCTGCACACATGACTGTTGATGAAATGATTGAAAACTTTAGGTAAATGTCTGAGACTGATGTGGAGATCATCTGTGAGTTTGGTCTGATCAGGTCTGATAAGGTCTGGTCTGATCAGGTCTAGTCTGATCTGGTCTAGTCTGGTCTCGTCTGATCAGGTCTGGTCTGATCTGATCTGGTCTAGTCTGATCAGGTCTAGTCTGATCTGGTCTAGTCTGGTCTGGTCTGATCTGGTCTGGTCTTCCTGTTCTCACTCACTCACGCTGCTCTTTCTCTCTTTATCTCCTCCTCTTCCTCTCGTGAGCTCAGTGGCGAGTCGGCGAGGTGAGCGTTGTTTCCGATCTTTCTGTCCTCTGATCTTCATCATGTGACTCACACCTGATCACGTGACTGATGTTTGTCTGTTTCTCTCTCTCAAAGCATCTCCCCTGCTCTTTCTCTCTTTATCTCCTCCTCTTCCTCTCGTGAGCTCAGTGGCGAGTCGGCGAGGTGAGCGTTGTTTCCGATCTTTCTGTCCTCTGATCTTCATCATGTGACTCACACCTGATCACGTGACTGATGTTTGTCTGTTTCTCTCAGATAAAGCATCTCCCAGACGATCTCCACGTAAGAGGACTCAGAAACGCTCGGCCGGATCAGACGAGTGAGAGACGTCGCCATCTTCATCATCTTCATCTGTGTTTACAGTGAGACGGCGAGTCTGTCCATCACTGGATGTCAACAGAGACTGATACTCACACACACTCTCTCTCACACACACACACACACACACACACTCTCTCTCACACACACACACACACACACTCTCTCTCACACACACACACACACACACACGTTCAGGCCGTTTTTTAAAGTGAAAGGGCGTGAGGAGTTGGGCCGCTCAAGCTTCTGTAGGTCTGCTTTATTTTTAATTGCGAGCGTTACTCTTCTGTGAGGACTGATGGACGTTTCTGAGCCTCTTCACTCTTCATCACGTGCTTCTTCCTGTCAGACCATGAATTGATAATGACTGGTTTTAAACGCAGAAGGTGCCTGATTTCATTTCATTTCTCTGGTTTTCTTCATGATTTGCGTGTCGTGACGCTGATGTCATGTGATCTGGTCACGTGACTCGAGGTCACGCTTCCTCCTCTTTTTGACGGTTTGCTCCTCAGGACGGAGGAAGACTGTCGTTGTCTTTGTTTTTTGATCAGTCTAATAAAGTGACGGTGTTGCGGTGAAAGCAGCCGTGAGCGAGTGCTGATGTACAGATTGATATGTACTTGGAAAAATACAAATAAACTGAAATGAACAAACGGTCTGCTTCTGTGTGATGCGGTCTCATCGTATCTTTAGTTCCTGAATGTGAGGGTTCAGTTTTCATCAGGTTTCTGTGGGTTTTAAAGTTGTAGTTCATCCTTCCATAAATGAAGGCCTTAAAGTCTTAAATTCATAAAGTCATGGCATTAAATGTTGCATACACTGCAAAAAAAAGAATCTTCCTCAGTATTGTCTTGTTTTCCAGTACAAATATCTAAACATGCTTAAATCAACATGCGTTTACTGGCGACGCGAAATGAACTCTTCTCCAGTAAAACTCTTTGCTCTCTGATGGACGAAGTTTTGACAAGAAAGAATAAAAATGTTTCCACCAGTTTAAAAGTCCAGCGGAAAGTTTGTTTGATGTTTAAATGGAAATGAATGAAGATCAGAACTGCTCTGACATCCGGTGATGAGAAATACATCTCTAAATACGTCTCTGTGTTTGTAATCTGAGCTGATAGACTTTGCTCTGAGTTTCCAGAGAAGGAAAAACAAGCACACGCTGTTTCCATTCATCATCCTCATCGTGATGGATCTTCATCTGGTGATGATGGTGGTGATGTTCCTCCGCTGACGTCAGCTGCACTTTCACCTCGTGAAGACTCACACAACACTTGATTCACCTGATCAATAGTTTGATGCACAAAAATGATGAATATGTGCAAATTGTTTTCCCCAAACATGCAGAACAGTATGAATGTACCTGATATTCATATCTATAGATTTATTATTTAAAAACTAATAATCATGAATTTACATTAAATGTACATTATTTTACATTAAATGTAAAATGTAATGTTTTACATTAAATGTAAAAATTTGTGGGGAAGTCGTGGCCTAATGGCTAGAGAGCCGGACTCGTAACCCAAAGGTTGCGGGTTCGAGTCTCGTACCGGCAGGGATTGTAGGTGGGGGGAGTGAATGTACAGCGCTCTCTTCCACCTTCAATACCACGACTGAGGTGCCCTTGAGCAAGGCACCGAACCCCCAACTGCTCCCCGGGCGCCGCAGCATAAATGGCTGCCCACTGCTCCGGGTGTGTGTTCACTGCTGTGTGTGTGCACTAAGGATGGGTTAAATGCAGAGCACTAATTCCTAGTATGGGTAACCATACTTGGCCACATGTCACGTCACTTTTCACTTTTTAAAATCTTGCACTGGAGAATCTTTAAAAATTCATATTAATATGTGCTTGTATGAGTATAAATTCATTCATTTACATGTCTTGTGTAGTCAGTCGATTATTCAGTTGTTCACTTTGTACACGAGTATGATATTACCAAATGATGGCTGTGTAAAATCTTTTTTTCTACACTTACAACTGCAGAACATGTTGTTAATGCTATTAATACTTACCCGGTTGATGAAAGCAAAAAAAAAAAAAGAAGTGTATGAGAGAGAGAGAGAGTGTGTGCTCTCAGCAGCAGTAGTTCAGTCTAGTCTGGTCCGGTCTGCTTGAGTTCAGGTCTGGTCTGATCGTGTTTTAAATCATCTGCAGCGGTTGTGTGTTCGCAGCGTCGCGGTGAGTTTGTGTTTCTTGTGTTTGACAGAAACTTCTGGAGTTTCTGAGTCTCCTCGAGTCTTCAGATGGTTTCGCTGGAGATTCGCGCGCGTCTGTGTTTGAGAGCTTAATGTAACACGTGCTCGATACTTTCACACTGTGAGTCTTTGATGTCGCCGCTCAGTCAGTCGGTCTGGCGCGCTTTGTCTTTGATGTTTGAGCTGTTTGTTTATTGCGTCTTACACTCACACACACACACACACGCTTTTAAGGGTCTTTTAAATCTTCAGAAAGTGCTGTATGTCTGCGTGACTCATGATGTGTTTGCCATGTTTCTGTTGTCAGGCATGTGTAACCCCAAGAACTTGAGCGACACGCCGGCGACGGCTAAGAGCACGGTGGAGGAGCTGCAGCGGCCGATCCCCTCGCTCTTCAGAGCGCTGACCGACGGAGACGCTCCCATCAACATGCTGGTGGTGTCCTTCCCTGCGGCTGAAGAGCTGTCCTATCAGCAGAACCTGCTGTCCTTCCTGGAGACGCTGGAGGACGCGCACCACAACGTCTCTCTGCCCGGCAACAGCATCCACGCCAGCTACGACACGCAAGGTGAGCTTCAGCGCTCACAGCCTCGTTAGCTTGAGCTTCACTCGTTAGGACGTGACCTCCTGACCCCGAGCCGAGACGCTAATGAGACGTCCAGCGGAGCGCAGGTGTCCGGAATCACCGCCAGACCAGTCTGACACTTACACTACAGTAATTATCATGATTCATGTTTCTGAAAGAGTCTCTTCTGCTCAGCAAGCCTGTGTTTATTTCATCAGAAATACAGTAAAAATCTGAAATATTATTATGATTTAAAACTAAACTGTTTTCTATGTGAATATGTGTTAAACTGTAATGTATTTCTGTGATGCGCAGCTGTATTTTCAGCATCATTACTCCAGTCTTCAGTGTCACATGATCTTCAGAAATCATACTAATATGCTGATTTGCTGCTCAAGAAACATTTCTGATTATTATCAATGTTGAACACAGTTGTGCTGCACAATATTTTTGTGGAAACCGTGATGCATTTTATTTTTCAGGATTCACAGATGAACAGAAAGTTCAGAAGAACAGCGTTTATTTGAAATAGAAATCTTTTCTAACATTCTAAATGTCTTTACTGGCACTTTTGATCAGTTGAATGCGTCCTTGTTTAGGATTAATGTACTTACTCCAGACTTTTGAATGGTGATGCATCACAGTTAATATTGTGCAGCACAACTGTTTTCAACACTGATAATAATCAGAAAAGTTACAAAATTCAGCTTTGATCACAGAAATCAATTTCAGTTTAACAGAGATTCACACAGCTGTTTTACATTAGAATAATATTTCACATTATTACTGTATTTTTGATCAAATAAATCAGACTTGGTGAACAAAAGACACTTCTCTCAAAAACATTAAAAAGCTTTGAGCCGGTTTGTGTAATATTTAATTAACAGGAGAAACGAGTCGTTTAAAATGATGAACGTTTACAGTTATTTATATAATCTTTTAAGTGCAAACAGCTGATAAACATTGATTTTTAATGAGTTATTACAGAATCTTCAGAACAACAGTTATGCCAGATTTGAGTTTTTTTTACGCCTCCAGGACTTTTTATTCAGTTGATTTATTCTAGTGCTGTCAAGCGATTAATTGTATCCAAAATAAGTTTTTGTGTACATAATATGTGTGTGTGTACTGTGTGTATATTTATTATGCATATATAAATACACACACATGTGTGTATATATTTAAGAAAAATATGTTAAATATATACATGTAAATATTTTCAAAATATATACTGTGTGTATCTATACATAAGAAATATACACAGCACACATATAGTATGTTAAACAAAACTTTTATTTTGGATGTGATTAATCGTTTGACAGCACTAATATATAACGAGTGCATCGGCCCCGAGTGCCTCGACTACGGCAGCAAAGCCGTCCGCTGCATGAACTGCCTGTTCTGAACCCGCTTTACAGCTCCTCCTGACGTGTAGCCAAACATGATAGATGCATATTGTTCATATTCGGCTTTTATTATGAGTCCGGGTCTTTATTAAGACCGACTGATTTCATATCGAGTTAAATCTTTAGTTTGTCTTCAGCAAAATCTCTGCCAGTAAAGAATAAAGTCTGCAGTGTTTTCCAGAGAGAACTGAGCAGTGTCTGTGTTTGCTGTTGAAGTGAATCAGTGAAGCATCGTCTGATGTGTCGCTAACGAGCGTTTTGTTTAATGAAGGCATGGGTTCTTCCTCACGCTGTCCCCGAGACACAAAGAGCTCATTGAGTCCGTCTCACAAGCGTTCGCTGAGAAAGCTTTGATCAGATCTGAAACGCTTGCTGTGAACTTTACAGGTTCCTAGTTTTACTGCAGTTTAGTGAATGATCTGCAAAACAAACAAAAGCTAGGTTTCACTCCTTGTTACAGTGTAACTACACATTTAAGTGCTGAGTAATATTAATTAACTACATGTACTTACTATATGGTTAGGGTTTGGTTTAGGGCTACCTGCATGTAATTATGCATAATTAATTGTTATTATAAAAGTAAGTACATGTAACGTGTAACAAGGACACCTTAAAATAAAGTGTTACTAATAGTTTCATAATCTTTCATCAAATTGTAAACTGACTCTGTTGTAATTTGTGTGTGTTTTGAAGTCTTTGATGAAAATAGAAAGGAGAACGCTTCTCAGTAATAGTTCAGTGGTTAACATGAGTTAATGCATTTGCTCATAAACTATTCAATTCTATTCACGTTTATTTGTTTAGTGCTTTTCATGATACGAAACGTTGCAAAGCAGCTTTACAGAAAATGTAAGTGTCTAGATTATATTTAGGAGTAGCTAAACTAACAGTTTTTCTTTATTAATCTAGATCTAGAAACTGTGGTTTATGAGCTGATTATTAAATCCTAAGAATTCAAATGATAAATGGAAAACAATAGAAACACGTTAAACAAGGATAAGCTGCTCTTATTTATCTGCATGTCGTTGCATTTATTTCTATAGCGCTTTATTCAGTACAGACTGATTCAAAGCAGCTTTACAGAATCAGTGATGGAGTCAGTTCAGATTCGACAGACCTGTGAGAAAATATTGTCATCATTCAGATCAGATCGATAAGAGTGTGTTCATCAATATGAGTTCAGTTCAGTTCAGCGATGACCAGTTCTACAGAAGGCAGTGATGCAGTGATTCAGTTTGAATCAGTTCAGTGTTTTTCTTTTTTTCTCTCTTTATTTAAATTTTCTTGAAACAACACACACAATGTCACAAAATAGCTACTACACTCGAAAAATATGACATCGAGCACCTTTAGCTGTAACACTGTACATGTACACAATACATGACTTTGAGCCAACCAAATTAAAGCTTTATATTAGACCCCCCCCCGCTTTAAGATCAGGAATGTTGTACATGAGCAACAGCGTGTTAATATACAATCTTTTATCCTGATGGACGGCAACAACAGCTATCCAAATAGTGTATATTCAGACAGTTTGATTAAAAGAGATGTAATCCAATATATTCAGTCTGCCTGTAAGAACAGTCTTATTGGTTTCCAGATCTTGATGAAAATGGATAATTTATCTTTTAATATAAATCTCAGTTCTTCCAAATGTAACATATTTCCCAGTTCCCTTGCCCACATCTCAAAAGTAGGGACAGAATCTGCTTTCCACATCTGTAAGATCAGTTTTTTGCAAGTAACATGCAGAGCGAAATGGCCTGTGTTTGATATTTACTGCAAAAGGCATTTTCTGCACCTAAAAGTCCAATACAAGGCTCAGGCTCCAAGTCGACAGAATACACTTCAGAAAGAAATTTAAATATGCATATCCAAAATGGCTGAATTTTACTACATGACCATAAAGAATGAAACAGGGTGCCTTCTAATGTTTTACACTTATTACAGAGTGGGGAAATCGTGGGATAAATTTTATGAAGTTTTATTGAATCAGTTCAGTGTTGAATCAGTTCAGTGTTGAATCAGTTCAGTGTTGAATCAGTTCAGTGTTGAGTCAGTTCAGTTTGAGTCAGTTCAGTGCAGGATGAGAGCCAGCTGTAAAGCATCATCATCATCATCAATCATCATCAGCTTGATTCATTCAGGGTCTGTTCTCGTCTGATGCTGTTCATATTGATAAATTACTGAACGAATCCAGTGTTCAGTTCAGATCAATAAGGTGACCATTAAAGGTCATCGGAGAACTGAACAATGTATTAAATTACTGAAATATTAAACATCTTAACACATTAACCTCTCAGGGGAACTTCAAAAAAATATTGCAGCTCTGAGAAAAAAAGTTTGTGAATCTTTTATCTAGATTCATTTTGATTTATTCATATACTATTGTTCATTATTAGTTCATGTTTGCTCATAAAGCATTAATGTTCATTTATGCAACTTTACATTTGAAACTGTATTAGTATATAAAGTAGCATTAAATGAACATGCCATTTTGTACCACTTTGTCCAGTTGTCATATTCATCAGTTCAGGCTTTATGAAAGCTGGTTATTAAAGGGTTAAAAACAAATTTAGGAAAAAAAAGTTTATTTTTTCTCTCTCAGATTCTCATGATTGATCAACAGAATTCATGTTTTTATTGGTGGAAATGATTAAGGGACAAAAAGATGTAAAAGTATATAAAAATGCTAATAAATTCTGTAGAATTATCAGTTCATATCTGATCGCTGACACACTATAACGGATTCATCCAAATCATTCACACAGTTCTCGAAACAAAGACACGTTTCCAGCGTAACGAACAGCAGCAGTGATTTTGTGTGAAACTTTATTGGGCAGATTAAGAGAATAACATCAGCGCTATCCATGATCAGAAACACTGCAGTATGTACAGAATCATTAAAACTCTCCAGTCACCTGAGATCCCATGTTCAGCTCGTGAAATCTGTTAAAAACACGAGAAACGACACGCCAGCGCAACAATGTGCTGCGATTAAAAGAGCGACGCTCAGCCCTTGAGATCAGAGTCTGCAGCCGGTCAAGTGTTCTCTGAAGGAGGAAGACGTGATTAAGGCTTCTGTGGTGAAATCAGAGAGGTGCATTCTGGGACAGCGGGTCAGTAGGTGGAGGACGTGTTGCTCATGGCGTCCTCGTTCAGACGCGTGCTGCCGGGGTGAACGCTGGAGAAGTACTTGACGTCTTTATCCACGTCTGTCTGCAGCGAGACGAGTGTGTGCTCCAGCGCCACCTGCTGGCAGTTCAGCGCGCTCAGAAAATACTCTGGAGAGAGAACACACCAGCCATGAAAACAAGCATTTCCTTACTTGGATGTTTATACTGGAAAACAAGACAAAACACTAAGAACTCTTGAATCAACATTAATTTACTTTACAAGTAAAATGACTCAAGATATTATGTCTTATTTTCTGAAAAAATGATCAAAATTATGTTCGTTAAAACAAGCACAAATATCTGCCAATGGAGCAAGAAAAATAATATTGTTTAGCCTTTGAATTAAGATTATTTTTCTCACCCCATTGGCAGATATTTGTGCTTGTTTTAGGCAAAGGCTTACAAAATTTTTATCATTTTTAAATATAAGATATGTTACTTGTCAAGTAAATGCATCTTGATTCAAGAATGTTTAGACATTTATGCTAGAAAACAAGACAAAAATACTGAACAATTCACGGTGAATGACTAAACAGAATGATTCACTCAGGATTCAAATAATGAAAGAAATAGGACCATTAAAAAAAATAAAGGAAAAATAAAAATGTTTACCAAAAACAAAAAGAAAAAAAGAAATTAGAAAAAAAATTAATCAATCAAAAAATAAAAAGATAGGTAAGAAAGCAGAAAAACACAAAAGAACAAAAAAATGAAGACAAAAAAATGCACAAAAAGAACAAAGAAAATTTAAATAAATTTGGAAAAAAAAGGAAAAGGGCAAATGAATAAATAAATGGGAAAGAAAAAAGATCAAGGGAAAAAATAATAAAAATGGAAAAGAAAATTAATTAAAATTAATGAAAAAAAAAAAAAGTACAAAAATTTTACAAATAAATTTTAAAAAGAAAAGAAATTACAAAAAAGAAAAAAAAAAAAATTTATAAATGAACAAACAAATACATTTAAGTGCAAAATGTAAAATAAAGAAAGAAAAAAGGAGGAAAAAAAAAGAAAAACAAAAGAAGGAAAAAGCGAACGAGTGAGGAGTGTTCGTGTCAGTACCAGTCTGTAGGAGGTCCAGCGCACAGACGACCGGTCAGAGCAGTGCATGATGGGCTTAAGAGGGTCAGAGCAATGCATGATGGGTTTGAGAGGGTCAGAGCAATGCATGATGGGAATGAGTGGGTCAGAGCAATGCATGATGGGAATGAGTCTGTTAGAGCAATGCATGATGGGTTTGAGAGGGTCAGAGCAATGCATGATGGGAATGAGTGGGTCAGAGCAATGCATGCTGGGAATGAATCGATCAGAGCAATGCACGATGGGCTTAAGAGGGTCAGAGTAATGCATGATGGGTTTGAGAGGGTCAGAGCAATGCATGATGGGAATGAGTGGGTCAGAGCAATGCATGATGGGAATGAGTCGGTCAGAGCAATGCATGATGAGATTGAGTCGGTCAGAGCAGAGCAGTACATGATGGGACTGAGTCGTCGGTCAGAGCAGTGCATGATGGGATTGAGACAGACAGTCAGAGCAGAGCATGATGGGATTGAGTCGGTCAGAGCAATGCATGATGGGATTGAGTCGGTCAGAGAAATGCATGATGGGATTGAGTCGGTCAGAGCAATGCATGATGGGATTGAGTCGGTCAGAGCAATGCATGATGGGATTGAGTCGGTCAGAGAAATGCATGATGGGATTGAGTCGGTCAGAGCAGAGCATGATGGGGATGAGAGGGTCAGAGCAGAGCATGATGGGAATGAGACAGTGATGTGGCACTGACCTGCTGTTTGGATTTCCTCTGGTCTTCAGGATTCAGGCAGCAGTCGCTCACGTCAGAATCATCGTCGTCACGCGTCACATGTAGAGAGGAATCACGCCTCTGAAACACAACACACATGAATCCATTCAGCTCAGCCAGATTCAGCACGAGTCACTGAGTCATCTACACATCATTTCTACACTTCATTTCTATGAACTCAAGTCATGAACAGCAATATTTATCTACAGATAGAGACTCTGGTTAGCATCAAGTAACAAACGAATCTTTCAGTTCAGTTTGGAATCAGTCAATTTGAACTGATTCATATAAATGAACTGAACTCTGACGCTGCTATAAATGAGAAATGCTATTAAAACATCTGTGTGAAGAGACTAGTACCGATACTAACTAGTCTAATGACACAATCTTTAGGAAACTTAATGACCAAATAATAAAAAGAACATTAAAGGGACAGTTCACCCAAAACCAAAAACATAAAAGAAAATATTCTGAAGAAGGTTGGTAACCATTGACTTCCATAGTATGTTGGCTGACAGGAGTTCAGGAGCGCGTGTGTGTGTGTGTGTGTGTGTGTGTCAGTTATTGTGAGAGTGCGTGAGTGTGTGTCAGTTATTGTGAGAGTGTGTGAGTGTGAGAGTGTGTGTGAGAGAGTGTGTGTGAGTGTGTGTGTGTGTGAGAGAGAGTGTGTGTGAGTGTGTGTGTGTGTGTGTGTGTGGGTGTGTGTGTAGCTGACAGGTGTTCTGAGGACTGCTGGGAGCTGAAGGGGTTTGATCGAGCGGCTCGAGGCTCCAGGAAAGCATCTTCCAGTCCAGAGTCCAGCGCCGTGGCTCTCAGAGCAGCCGTCAGAACATCCACTTGTGCTGGACACAGAACACACTCATAATAAACACCGTCCTGTATTAGGACTGTCCATTTAACACCTTAATTAGGTGTGATCATCTATGAAATAATAACATGATTAGCAGATTTCCCCCATCCAGAGCTGTCCGTCATCTCACACTGATGCTGATGATCATGAAGCAGGACGACTGCGTGATGAAGTCTATTAGAATGTAGTTAAATGAGCACAAAAATCACCCTCTTATATTCATATCATATGATATAGTTCAGCAATATCACACCAGCAAGAGTGCTGTTTCTCCCCAATATCTGCTCCACTGATTCATACCACAGTTCATACAGTGGATATTTAATCGCACATCATGTAATTAGATGATAAATGTTAAAGGAGTGATCCGGAGCGGTTGTCCAGGATAGAGGCGCTCAGTCTCTCTCAGTTCAGAAGAATTCTCAGATGTGAAGCAAACACACTAAAGGCCCGTTTCTGTGCGTCACTCCTTCTGTTTTTCTGCTCGGTGTTTCAGCAGCTTCCTGAACTCATTTCCTTCCCCTGACACGAAGGTCTCGCTGCGGCGAGGACAGACTCTCACAGTCCCTCAGAAGTGCAGATCTGTGTTAGGGTCAGGTCACTCAAGGCTTTCTGTGCTCATCTGTCACAGTGATGTTGAATCAGGGTTTCTTTGACTCTATCAGTCTCTATTTCACACACAACGGTGATAAACTACAGATAAACTTACTGAACTGAATCATGAATCACGTAATCAACCACAGAAACACGTCAATAAAACCGCTCGAGATCAATAGTCACGCATCTGCCTCAGAAAAGACAAACCATAAACTTGGTTAACTAGAGAAAATAACTCATTTGATCAATTTGAGCATTTTGATGAATATGTGCACTGTTACATATTTATTATATATTTTTTGTCTAAATTATGGAATAAATCTGTCATCATGAAAATATGTTTTTATTACAGACATTGTTTAAATGTCTATTTATAATAATATTTCAACAGCAAATCCGAGTATAAACTATTTATAATTAGATTATTAAAAAGTTGATATAAAACTGCCTTATGTGAAATCTAAGTGTTGATTATTAAATTTAATTAACTGATTATTAAATAAACATGTATATTACAATCATATTTTTACTATTTTAATGTACACTACCGGTCAAAAGTTTGGGATCAGTAAAACTTGTAATGTTTTTAAAGAAGTGTCTTCTGCTCATCAAGGCTGTGTTTATTTGATCAAAAATACAGAAAAAAACAGTAATCTTGCAAAATGTTATTACAATATAAAATAATTGTTTCTATTTTTATATCCTTTAAACTGTAATGTATTTCTGTGATGCGCAGCTGTATTTTCAGCATCATTACTCCAGTATAAAGTGTCACATGATCTTCAGAAATCATTCTAATATTCTGATTTATTATTAGAATTATCAACAGTTGTGCTGACAAATATGTTTTTTGGAAACTGCGATACTTTTTCAGGATTCTTTGATGAATAAAAAGTTAAAAAGAACAGCATTTATTCAAAATATAAATATTTTCCAACAATATAAATCTGTGCTATCACTCCTTAACAATTTAACACATTCTTGCTGAATAAAAGTTTTAATTTCTTTAAAAAAAAAAAAAGAATAAAAATGTACTGACCCCAAACTTTTGAACTGTAGTGTATATTGTTACAAAAGAATTAGATTTTAAATAAATGCTCTTCTTTTTAACTTTTAATTCATTAAAGAATCCTGAAGTAAAGTATCACAGTTTCCAAAACAATATGAAGCAGCAACAGTTTCCAACATTAATAATAAATCAGCATATTAGAATGATTTCTGAAGATCATGTGACACTGAAGACTGGAGTAATGATGCTGAAAATACAGCTGCGCATC